CTCGAATTTTGCGGTGAAACTAAACTGGTTTTAAAGTTTATTTATTTATTTTTTTTTAAAAAGAAGTCAGTTCTTTCTTTACAAAATTCTGAAAAAAAATAGTACAAACTGAAGTTACCTTCTTTTGAAAGCTAGGGAACAGATTTGTTAACTGAGATATCTGAAGATAGAGCTGAATTCACACTCATTGCATGAATTTTTCCAATGATTTCCAACCTCATGTGCTAGAAGATGTGAAATAGTTTATATCTTTCATCTGTTAAAACAATGTGCACATTTTCAATACAAACAAGATCAAAATTTCAAATATACATTTTAATTAATTATTAAATTTATTTATAGGTTTCCTATTTCCAAAAAGCAGCTTACAAMAAAAGATACAAATAATAATTTAGTAAAATACCACCAAAAGAGGACAAATTAGGATTCTAAATACAAAGAAAGCATATATGCTAATTCTAAGGTTAACATCCTTGCTATAATAAGAATAGAAGACTTCAGCTCTGAGTTTCCAGGGAAACTTGACCTTTATTATAAAGACTTTCATATATCTTTCTTTCTTGTTGTAGATGGACACAATACCTTTGTTTTATTTATTTATTTATTTTTATGTGGTGCTGAATTTTGAATCCAGTGCCTTAARTGTGATAGGCAAGCGCTCTACTACTAAGCCTCAACCCCAGCACTATTTTTCAAAATTAGAAAGTGTATCCATTCTTCAGAGGACATGAAGTTTTTTTTTCCCTAGTATAAAATCTGAAAAATTTATGTGATGATGTCCTCCTAAACAGCTTTACAGCATAWGCAGAAGTAGTTGAGTTTTTATCTGGCTATTTCTTTCATTACTTATATGTAAAAAAAAAAAAGAAACCAACAAAATATAACATTCAGTTTTAGCTCAGTGTAGACAGCTTTGCCAAGGTCTAACCACAATATTTTACAGTGTCTTAGTTGGCACTAACCACAAATGAAAAGGATGTTTTGTTTTTATTTAATCTATTGACCCATTCTCATCATCCTATTTTCTTTTGCAAGAAACAAAATAATTTACTTTCTAGAAACCTATAAAKACTACTGTTGGAATCTTCAGATTCTAATTCCTTTTCAATTTTGAATAATTTCATTCCTATTGACTCGCTCTATGGTTCATWAGTATCTGGCAAAGATGAGAGATATCATTGCTACTTTAGGCACACATTTTGTGTAAGATGATTTAATACTACATCAACAGCAGCAAAACAAGTAAAGCAATCTTTGAATGTTTATAAGTGCTGCCTCCTTGTTTGATTTCTATGTGGATATGAAGGGAGTGAATAATACTCGTGTAGCTGAGTAGCTTAAAAAAACCCCAGAGAATCCTGGAAAAAATATGTTTCTGACAAAATAATTAAATTAATTTGGTATTGGGCATTGAACTCAGGGATGCTCTACCCCTAGCCTAAGCCCCTTTATATTTTTTATTCTGAGACAGGGTCTCACTAGATTTTCTAAGTTGGCCTCAAACTTGTGATCCTCCTGCTTCGGTCTCTCAGGTGTGCAGCACCACACATGACCCTAACAAATTTAAATTACTCAAAAAGAAGTTTTTCAGTTTTAACAACTTAGTTTTTTTTTTTGTGGGGGCGGGTCCTGGGGATTGAATTCAGGGGCACTCAACTACTGAGCCATATCCCCAGCCCTATTTTGTATTTATTTAGAGACAGKGTCTCACTGAGTTTCTTAGAACCTTGATTTTGCTGAAGCTGGCTTTGAACTTGCAATCCTCCTGCCTCAGCCTCCCAAGCTGCTAGGATTACAGGCGTGTACCACCATGCCCAGCTAACAACTTAAGTTTTTATCTAAATTAATTTTTTATGGCATATCTGCTGCTAATGGCTTTAAGTTTCATCTCCCATTTTACGCAAACTACAATGTATTAACTAAAGTTTCACCACATTCATCTGTCAATAATGAGTAAATCTAGGAACTTAATTTAATGACATGAAATATATTATTGTGTAAGCTAATGTAAATGAATACAGTATTTTTTGTCTTTATTTATTTATAAATATTTATTTTTTTAGGTATAGGTGGACACAATATCTTTATTTTATTTTTATGTGGTGCTGAGGATTGAACCCAGTATCTCACACGTGTGAGGCAGGCAYTCTACCATTGAGCTACWGCCCTAGCCTGCTAATATACTTTTAACATTAAATGATTAGCTACTAACTATACCTTGAAGAACATTACTTTAGAATACATTTAAAAGGAATGCAGATACATTCAAGTCTTGAATATTATGGAGCTGTGGTCTCACCAGGGGCTTTGCTTTTTCTTCTTTTTGCCTTTTTGACCAATGACAAGCTGTTTCTCAAAGAGAACCTGGGGCAAGGAACTGAATAAAATCAATTTGTCAACTTTATTTGTTTATTTATTTTGGTACCTGAGATTGAACCCAGGGGTACTTAAGTAACCACTGAGCCACATCCCTAGCCCTTTTAAATATTTTATTTAGAGACAGGTATGGCTGAGTTGCTTAAGGCCTGCTTAAGTTGTTAAAATGGACCTTGAACACATGATCCTCCTGTCTCAACCTCCTGAGCCTTTGGGGTTATAGGTTTGCACCACCATGCCCAGCTCTCTGTCTCTTTTTTCCTACATACATGACAGTCAAGTATATTCTGATATATTATACATATATGGAATATAACTTGTTCTAATTAGGATCCTGGTCTTGTGGTTATACATGAATACTGGTGGAGTATTCATATATGAACATAGGRAAGCTATGTCTGATTCATTCTTCTATCTTCTGTCAATTATTCTTGTTTTAAAAAATTGCTAAGAAATGTCGAGAGCTGTGGTGCATGCCTGTAAGCCCCGGCTCCAGAGGCTAAGACAGGAGGATAGCAAGTGCAAAGCCTGCYKCAGCAATGGCAAGGTGCTAATAAGCAACTCAGTGAAACCCTGTCTCTAAATAAAATACAAAATAGGTCTGGGGATGTGGCTCAGTGGTTGAGTGCTCCTGAGTTCAACCTCGGTACCCCCCCCCAAAAAAATTGCTGAGAAATAATGAAAACCTGTAAATTAAAATGTCCATCACCAGAAAAATAATTAAATAAATTATGGCATAGCCTTACTATTGAATAGTAGGATGAAACAAAACTAAGTTTATGTCAGGAAAAGACCTCATTAAATATGAAAAAAAAACCCAAAACAAAATAAAACAAAAATCATGAACTAAGCAGAATAATTTCTAAACTATGATCCTATAACCTACACACAAATAGAAAGATCTGGAAGGATAATCTTCAAACTAGTAACTTTAGKGTAATGGTATTGTAATGTAGTTGATGAAAGTGGTTGTTCACTTTTCTGAAATTTTATGATGTGCATATGTAATTTTTATTTTTTAATTAATTGAAGACTGTAAAAACTGTTTATTGGGATATAATTCATATAGCACAAAAATTCTTTCTTTTTTTTTTTTTGCAATGGTGGGTATAAAATCTGGGCCATGAACGTGAAGCACTCTACCACTGAGATAACCCCCAGCCCAAATTACCCTTTTGCTGTGTATGATCCAGTGTTTTSTAGTAGATTCACAACATTATACAATCATTATTATTATCTAATTCCAGATTATTTCATTACTATGAGAGATACAGTTAGCAGTCATTCCCCATTCTTCCCTACCCCAGTAAAATTTTAATTGAAAAATCTTAAGAAAGAAAAAGAATAAAYTGAAATAATTGGAACATTGTTCCTAGATATTTTTTGGGATTCAATCTAATAATTTAAGCTCTCCTCTCCCTTGACTAACTGGAAACAGTATGCTTGGTCTTACAAAGTAATGTTTATGACAATATGAGAGAAATAAAATTTCATCACCTTCAAATTATTTTTGTCAAGGAAGTCGTCCCTCTGTTCATCCTAGGAAGCTTGGTCAGGAGAGGCAGAGGTCAGAGGGAGAGTGGTACCCAATGACTTGCAGGAGAAAGGGAGGTTATTTCTCTGAGCTTTTGTTCCTYAAAGAAATCTGGGAAAGAACTGAATGAAACTAATCATTTTGTCTGTAAGATGTTCTTGTTTAAAAAGTCTGTTGAGACATAACAAAAAACTGTAAGTAATCTACCTCTCTTTTATTAAATAAGTAGGCAAGATACTTAAGCGTAGCTTAGGGAACAGCAGCATTGCTGTCATTTGGAAATCAGAAACACAGAACATCCGACCCTTCTACTGAATCAGAATCTGCATTCAAAAAGGTTTCCAGGTAATTCATATGCATGTTTGAGAAGCGCTGCTTTTCTGGACCCTCCAAGAGCATTTTACGAAAATAACCTCGAAAAGGATAAGTCTGGGGTCTGGGTCCTAGGCTTGGGAAGGCAGGTAGCCCAGGAAGGGGCGGGTCTAGGAAAGGGGCGGAATCCCAGAACCTGGTCTCTGCTCCCCTTACCTGCTTGCTATCCGCTACTATCACTGTACATTTGGCTAGGATGTATGGGACTACATGTCCTGCCAGTCTTCCTTTTCCGGCATTAGCCACCTTTAAGGCTCACGAAACTCGGYCGGCTCCGCCTGGGCCCAGAGGACTACCGAACCGCGGAGTTAAAATTACCGCCGTAATCTTGTGCACCTGCTCCTCCTCCGGTTCTATAGCACCGCCCCCACCTGACTCTTGGGGCGGAGGGAAGCCCAGGTCCCGCCCCTTCCGATACAACCGGAAGTGACGTCATGCCCGGCCCGGCAGGTCTTTCGGTCTTCTTTCCCCTCCCATACTCTTCTTCCCCGGTCCCTTCCCTCCCTTCCCCCTTTCCTCCTCCCGCTGCAGCCTTTATGGCCACTGGGTTGGCGGAGACTATGGAGTAAGCGGACGGCAGCGGCCAGTCGCGGAGGCCGAGCAGGAATAGCCAGAGCGCCTCTAGGGAGGGCGGGGGGAACGCGCCCCAGCACCGCCCCTCCCGGGCGGAGAGCCGAGAGCTGAGAGGTAAGTGCCCGGCTGCGGGCACCGGGCGAGCTCCCTCTATGGTCGGTCGCGCTCTCACCTGGGCCTCCAGTGGGAGAAAAGGGAATGGGGAAGGACCCGTGCGCGGGTTAGGCCACCAGGGGCCACCGTGCTGGTGACTGTTGCCTAGTGACGGGCTGCAGGCCGCGCCGGCCGGGCGGTGGGCGCCTAAGAGAAGACTGGCTGGGGTAGCGGCAACCTGGAGGGAGCGGATCCGAGAGGCCCGAGTCCGCCGAAGAGGCCTTAAGGCTACGGGTGACTCGGGATCGGAGTGGTCTCTCGGGAGGGAGAGTCTTCCGCGCCAGCGCGGGAGCTCCGGTTTCTGTGGTGGAGATCTTGGTACCCTTTTGGGAAACAGGACACTACTCCGGAACTGGGTGAGACAGCTCCCCTCTGTTCTGAGGTCCGGCTCCTGTAACCTGGGTCACCTACCAGGGCCTTACTCTCCCGGTGTCCTTCTCTGACAGTATCCTGTAGTTCTTGAATGGATGGTTATTGTGTGTGAGGTGGGTGGGGCAGATGTTTTCTTAAGACTAAAACCCACCCGGTCGGTGGTTTCTGAACTTTTGTTTTTCTAAGTGAGAGAAAAAGATGAAGATTTAGACCTATAAAGCTTGCAAAACTTCTTGGGATTCTACCGCATATCTGTGATGAGTAATTAAACATCCACTGTTATCAAATCTACTTCTCTATAGGCTTGATGAGCCGCCAGAGTCACTGGACTTTAAAGTGCCATGTCAGTAGTGACTTAAAAGTTGCCAGCTAATATTTTTTGACCATCAAATTCAGGAACTGTTTGTATGATGACACTTAAAAAATGTTAGTTTCAGGAACTATTTGTATGATGACACTTAAAAAGTGTTAGTTTCAGGAACTATTTGTATGATGACACTTAAGTGTTAGTTTTCTAAATTGCGTGTCTCTGTTCTGAAAAATTGATAGTTTAACCAAAATACTTCAAACTAGCCTGACATAAAACCTACTCATGTTCTGGTGGCTTGAAAGTCACGTTTTTTTTTTTTATTTATTTTTTTAGTTCTCGGTGGACACAACATCTTTGTTTGTATGTGGTGCTGAGGATCGAACCCGGGCCGCACGCATGCCAGGCGAGCGCGCTACCGCTTGAGCCACATCCCCAGCCCTGAAAGTCACGTTTTTGAATATTCCTTTTGGACTTTGCAAGCCTTTTTCTTCTTTTCTTTTTAAAATATTTTTTTTAGCTGCAGATGGACACAATACCTTTATTTTATTTGTTTATTTTTGTGTGGCGTGGGGGATCAAACCCGAGCCACAACCCCTTCCTGAGATGTGTGTAAAGGAATGGAACTGAAAGTAAGATATGGGTCTTCATTCTGTTCAGATCTACTTTACACTTGCAGAAACCTATATTTTTGTCTCTAAGATTGATAAACACCCCCCAAAATAAATACAGGCACCTTGTTCTTCCATATAATGAAATATTTCTATACAAATCAACTCTATATTTGAGAATAAAAAACTCAGATTCACATTTGAAATTCATGATCTGCCCCTTCAAGAAAAAACAATAAGTCCATTTGTTGTGTTTCCAACCCATTATATAGGAGTTGATTTTTGATATTTCTTTTCTCATGTCTCATAGTCTCTCATGAAATCCTGTTTATTTTGTCACTTTAGTACCTCTTGATTCAAGAGAGATCTTCAACTCTCATTTTCTAGTTTCAGCCACCATTATCATCTCTCCTCTGAGCTGCTTTATTAGCTTCCTGCATCTACTTTGGCCACCTTTGTTTTTTTAACTTGCTAGACTGAGTATTTAAAAAAATAGACCTAATCATATTGTATCTGTGTTTAAAATCCTTCAGTGGCTTCTCATTGTTTTTTTCCATAAACTGAAATGCCCTGTAAACCCCTTTAGTTGGCCTTCTGATTGCCTTTCTAACTTCATCTCCATGGTGCTTTCTGGCATTCCCTTTCTCCCTTGATTACCTTGTCCATCTTTCTTTCTTCGGATACATGGCATTTGGTTATACTTTGTGGAAACATCTCAGAGTCTGGAAATGCTTTTCCTTTCCTTTTCATCCAGTACTATCTATTCATCATTGAGCCCACTTTAGGGAACACTTTGCTGATGAGGATAGATTGTCCTGATTATATGTTCTCATGACACCATTTCAGAGTTGCCATATTAATTAATACTTAAATTAACTAGCTGTTCCTCATCTCCTGATACTGTGTAAATGCTTTGTAAATGTTTTTTAAATGAATGAAATCATTGAATGCTTACCAAATGTAAGCATTAAGAATTATTCTAAGTATTCTACATGCATTGGCATCTTCAGTCCTCAAAACAATCATTTGAGGTTTTGCGGTGCTCTACTCCGAAGCTAACTCCCCAGCCCTATTGATTTTATCTTGAGGTAGTGTCTAGCTAAGTTGTTGAGACTGACCCCAAACTCATCCTCCTGCCTCAGCTTCCAACATAGGTGGGATTATAGCAATTTGCCACTATGCCCAGTTTTCCCCTACCCCATTTTATAGAAATAGTGTAGCTAGGTGTGGGCATGCCTGTAATCCCAGTGACTTGGGAGGCTGAGGCGGGAGGATCACAAGTTTGAGGCTAGCCTCAGCAATTTAGGTCCTAAGCAACTTAGTGAGACCCTGTCTCAAAATAGAAAAATAAAAAGGGCTGGGATGTGGCTTTGTAGTAAAGTACCTTTGAGTTAAAGGCCCAGTACCCCCTCACCCACATAAAATGTTAGGGCGGCTAGTTGATGGTCACAGCTCTGGTAAGTGTTAGAATTGGCATTTGAACTCAAGATTTTTTTGCTACTGAAGATTATGTCCTTAACCATACAACAATTCTCATGCTAGGCGGTTTATAATAATCACCTGGGGGGCTTGGCCAAGCTACAAAAGGCCCTAACTGTATTTTTATAGATTGTGATTCCAGACATTTGGGATAGTACTTAGCAAGTTCCACATTATTTAGATATTCATCAGAATTTGAAAACTTTGTTTTAGATAGTACTTCACTGCTTTATGAATTTGTTTTTACACATTGTGCCACACTCTTTCAGATTTGGTGGTGCTAGGGATTGAACCTAGGCCCTTGTGCTTGTGAGGCAAGCACTGTATTGACTGAGCTATATTGCCAGCCCAGATTTGAGTTTTTTTTAAAGRCTATATATATACTGAAATGACCTTATTTAGTTTAATTTCCTACCCAGTTATTTCTTTTTCCTSTCCTGTAGCTGAAGGGACTGAATAGTGGGAAGCTGCCACTGCTGCTGTTTTTTTTTTTTTATTTAATAATCCAAAGACTCTTGTAAAAACTATACCTCATTAATCACATGGACTGGAAGTACCAAAAAACTGGGATGTAATCTCAGCTTTTTTTTTTTTTTATGTTTTAAGTTTTTAGTTGTCAACGAATCTTTATTTTATTTATTTATATGTGGTGCTGAGCATCAAACCAGTGCCTTGCACATGCTTGGCAAGTGCTCTGCCACTGAGCTACAACCTTACTTGTTGTTCATCATAACTTGTTACTAATTTTATTTTGACTTTTCAAATTTTTATTTTTACTTTTTATGCTGAGAATGGAACCCTGGTACATACTAGGCAAGCACTCTCCATTGAACTATACGTATACTTCAATACTCAAGTTACTAAATTGTTGTTTTAGCATACATTACTTTATAATTTCTCWGTTGCTATTTAAATCTCATTGTACAATAGTCATAAGATTATAACCAATAATGGAAACTACTTACTGTTTAAGTAGTTTTTAATGCAYTTATTGTGGTTCTTTTCACCTTTAGTATGTACTCACTAATTTGTTGTATAGTTGTGTAATTCACTTTACACTTCAGTTTTTTATGGTTTTTAAAAATCAACATTGTCTTCTGTAAGTAATCTGTTCTGGTTCAACTGATAATAAATTAGGTACTTTTTGTATTTGTAAAGAGAATGATTATATTCAGCTTGTATAATGTTGGTTCTGAATAAGATTAAACATGACTTCTATTTAGGTCAAAGAAAACATTTTTTGAAAACTTTCTTTTAAAAAATCTTCTGGTAATCTTTGAATGCTTCTATGTGGAAACATGTATTTTAAGAGTATATTTCAAAGTATTCATACTTTAGCTGTAACAAGTAAGCATTTCCTTTAGGAATATGGTTACTGTTTTTTCCCCCCAAATTTGAAAAGTATTTTACCAAAAGTATTTCATTTCATACAAATGTAATTGTAATTTAGAAGTGTTACATTTTATTTTATGAATACTTAACCAAATCAATGATTTTTTAAAGTGATATTCTTTTATTTTCAAGCATTTACATATAAATCTCAGACCCTTGTGCCTCTTTACAGGTTGAAGCATACTATTTTGAGCTAATTTTGTATTCATGCAAATGTTCTTTCTAGTCAATATTATTATTTTGTGCTTGTTGATGGTCTAGCCAGCAATACAATTTCATTGTCAGATGTATTAAAGAAACCTTAATTTACCTTTTTTTTKTGTGTGTGTGTGTATGTGGTACTGGGGATTGAATCCGGGGGCACTGTATCATTGAGTATATAGCCTTTTTATTTTATTTTTTTAGGTACTAGAGATTAAACCCGGGGCATTTTACTACTGTGACTTTTTATGTTGTGACTTTTTACTACATGTGACTTTTTATGTTGAGACAGGATCTCTCTCACTAAGTTGTTGAGACTGGCCTTGAAATTGGGATTCTCTTGCTTTGGCTTTCCAAGTAGCTGGGATTACAGGCATGTGCTTCTGTGTTCAGTTTAAAGTAACCTTAGTATTTGTATTGCAGTATTTTCATCAAAAATGGGAGCTAATCCTGCTTTTTAATATTTTATTCTTGGGGAAGTAGGGATTTCTTTGAGTTGTTATTTGAAAATCCATTTTTTAAGCATAAAATATAATTTTACCTATTTCTGCTATATCTAGAATTTCTGAGTAGGCAGAACTGAAAGAATTTCCAATTCCTCTTCACTGCCTGCCATCAGATGCTGTATTACTCAGCTTACTTTGTGAGGTACAGRTAAAACCTAGTGTTACAGCAGATTCTCCTATTGGGTCTACTGAAAGCCAGATAATGATTGAGCCAGATGGTAGAATGATACAATCATGGGATAATATGGAAACTACCCCATATCTTGTTTTGGCTGAAATTGAAGAGGTAGTTGAATTTCTTTCTTTCTTTCTTTTTTTTTTTTTTTTTTTTTTTGGTACCAGGGATTGAACTCAGAGGCTCTCAACCACTGAGCCACATCCCCAGCCCTATTTTGTATTTTATTTAGAGACAGGGTCTCACTAATTGCTTAGCACCTCGCTCCTTACTGAGGTGGCTGTCTCAGCCTCCTGAGCTGATAGGATCACAG